GGTTGGTCCAACACAGAGAGGGGGGCGGGGGGGGGGGGGGGGGGGGGGGGGGGGCAGCTTAGCTTTCATGCTCAGGATTTGGTGTTCCCATGGCATGCAGTGGGTGCACTAGTTCAGAACAGCTTTTCCTTAGTGGAAAAGCAGAAGCCCTGGACAGGTAGTTATGCCCCGGTTCAAATCCACGGTTAGCCAGGACACTATCAGCATGAAGTCTGCATCTGCTTATGTAGATTTCCCCCCACACTACAAACACATGCTGGTAGGTTAATTGGCTCCTATCTAAATTGGCCCCACTATGTGTGGATATGAGACAGAAACCTTAGATTGCAAGCTCTTTGAAAGCAGGTACTGATGTAAATAATTAGTATGTAAACTGCTGCATTAACGATGACACTATATAAATACTTGTCATAAAAAAGTCTGTTTCAAGGGGCTCTATAATGGGCAAGGAACTCCTTTATGATTAGGCTCTGAAGAAGGCAGCTATTCCATTACTCCACATACTAGTATATTGGCTGTAGGCTATTAACAAATAACGTTTCTTATTGGGGATCAAACAAAATGACAATCATGGACATAAAACATAGGTGAAGATTGACTCACAGGTCGGGGACTCTGTAGTCGTCACGTAGCGGGGAGTTGGGCTCCAGGTGGGATAATTCTGGCGGTAATTCTTTACCCTGCGATAACAGCCAAGCTCGCTCCTCTCGCAGCTTCCGTCTCCTCGCCCGCTCTGCACACATCACAGGGAACATTTATTTCAGGATCAAAAATACATACAGGGCTATTCACTGCAGGGTGAAGAGTTTGGAGAAGGCAGGAAAAGTGAACAATCTAGGACAACATAACTGATCTGGAAACATTCTCCAATTCAGCTCACTTTCCGGTTCAGCTATGTTGTCCTAGATTGTTCCCTTCTCCTGTCTTCTCCAAACTCTTCACCCTTTTGTGAATAACACCGACAATGTTCTGACGAGAGTTAAAGCCTTCCAAACCTTGGCCTGATCTCAGCCACATACCATGCAATCAGCAATATATTGTATGCGAATCCAGACCTGACCAGAAAGTCACTCGCACTCCGTTGCAAATAACAGTCAATCTCCTTTATTGACCATCGTGATGTCACATAGATAAAGCGACGTTTCGGAACCAGGCGGTCCCTTCTTCATGCAAACAAAAAGCATGATCACCAATATGAAGTGCAAACATATATACAAATAACAGAGAGAAACTATCAACCAATCACAGAAGTTTATGTGATTGATGTGACATCACGATGGTCAATAAAGGAGATTGACTGTTATTTGCAACGGACTGCGAGTGACTTTCTGGTTTGTTGCGTTTGATGTGCGGAGGCATGCGCAGTCACTTCCAGCAACCCCCAATTTTCTACGTGGACTTGATCCGGTCAGGAGTGTGATAGGATCTGCTAGATACTACATTCTAGACCCGATCACTCACCTTCCACAGATCGGACCTTATCCGCCAACACTCTCTTCCGCTCCTCCTTCTGCAGAAGTTCCTGCTCCTTCCTCTGCATCACCAGCAACAGCTGCCGCTCCTCCTCTTCCTCCAGTAATCGGGACCGATCCACACCCTGTAAAAGGCATAGAAAATGCTTCAACAAGGAGACATGTAACCCCAAACAATGAACTTCTATCATTTGCTCTCTTTTGGTCTGTTACATACAATAAAACAATAAAGTATTTTATCTATTCAATAAGTGCTGAACAGCACTGGTTGATCCTGCCAGAAATCTTGTGAGCCGATAACTGCCTATGCTGACTGATCAGTAACTTTGTTTTCAGTTATCTCTGAGGACTAAAAAAAACACTCCCCCCCCCCCCATGTTATGAAGAGCAGTGGAGCACGTGTTCTATATTAGAGTGGCAATACTACTTCTCCATAGATACAGTACAGAGAGTGAGTGATGTTATTATAAGACAGAAAGGATGTTACTGGAAGGATCACCAGGTGAAAATATAGGGAAAGAAAATTAAACTAATGCAGCCACCTCTGTTCCAGTGCAGGCAATCACACTGTGGGTGGGTGGGAGGAGCATTTGGGGTGCCATTGAAATGTCAGGGTGAAACCTAATATGACTTTCCCCACCTTTCATAAAAAATGTTTGTTTTTTTTAAATGTAATAATTGTACTGTAAGCACATGACGCTTGAATAGCTTCAGCCAGGGAATGGCAGCTGCCAGTGGCAAGATTCCGCAGACCGCAGCTGAATGTAAATACAGCTGCTATTGGCCATTTCAAATTGTAATAGCCAATAGCAGGCTGGCTATTGCCCACTGCTTGCTGTGCCCTCCTCCGAGTGTGGAGGCGAGATCCAACCATTACTTGACAACTATTCCCATAATCGATTCGGTTGCAGCCCTAATTAGAGAGTGTAAGCTCCTCTGGTGCAGAGACTGATGTGACTTGCTCACTGTTCTCGATATTGCCCTGCAGTATATGTCAGAGCTGTACCTATGTTTAGAAATAATAATAATGCAACTATGGCAGGGACATTAGAGTGTAAGCTCCTCTGATGTGAATCAGATTAAATAAAGTTATTGTATTTAACGGATGAGAACAAACACTGTCCAGCAGAGGGCGCTCTAAGACCTTCAATCGATCTAGCTTTCCATTCCTCATTAGGATGTTGCCTCTCACCTCGGCAGGTTCTCCCCTTTACAGCCTTGACATATACCCAGTGTACTTTCCTCTATAGATCTGACACCATCTTACCTCTGGCTGGAAAGTTCCAAACCCGGGATGTTCGGACAGTCTCTTGCAGGTGACATGGCTTTGCTCTTTCTTTATGTCCTGGATAAAAACAAAAATGTAAGTCAAAAACTCCCTTTCCTGGCAGACACAACATCCTGATCAGCCATCTCTGCCCTCATCTCACCTTCTGAGATATCATACTGCAGATCTCCGGGAGGAATTCTTCGCTCAGAATCTTATACAGGTGCCGCTCTTTCGGGGAAACCTTGTCCCGGAAGCTCTCCGTCAGCTCCCTCCATTCCTCCTCCGTCTGGCACAGCAGACACCAGAATCCCTCACCGGGGGAGCTGGCTGAGAATACAGATGAAATCCAACATGGAGAAAACGTTAGAGACATAGGTGATGGGCAGTGTGTATTCTTCCTTACAATAAACTTTAAAGCTAAACTCCAAAATCTTTTTTAAGTTTTTATTGCAGAGTCCCCAGTGCAGAAATTCTGATCACTTCCTATCCTGGTGACTACACAGGAAGTGAGAGGAACTCACTTTCCCGAAAAGAAATGTTGGCTCGAGTTCCACTTTTAAAAGCAGAAACATATTATTAATATTATTATTATTATTAAGATGATCTTTTTTACAGTGCAAATTCGCAATTATTCTAAAATTTCCTGTAAATCACTGGGCAGCAACCAAAAGTGCTATTTTATGTTACCGACCTAAAACTTTGTGGATTCTCAGTGGCTGGCTGAATGTTAGACTCTGCAGTTAGTATCCTTGCTAAACGACAACCGACATAAATTCATTCCCAGGATAAGCCACACAGATTGTGTGCTGTGCTCAAAGGGGCTTAGCAGACTCGTTCACATGGAGAGGGAGAGAGAAGAAAAACAGTGAAGTACATTCACTGCAGAGCACTGGCGGACGCTTTTGGCTAAGTACCACACTGTGTAAAAAAAAAAATATTTGTCCACCCATTCAATCAGAAAATTATTCTTCTTGATGCCCTAACTGTCCCCTATGTCTTTTCTGCTGTAAAACTGAGTGGGAGGGGTCCCAGCATCTGCCCGCCCCTATATTCCAGTGGGACTTTATGCAGCAGCACAGTCTGCTCCAATGGTGATACATCAGGCAACAAGGGAAGGAGAGACATGGCGACAAGAAGTCTCTTACCGTTCCGGGGCGATTCTCTTTCCATCGCTAATGAAGTTACCGGTTCCGGCTTCTCGCTGGAGAAAAACAAAAAAACTACGGGTTAGTTATTAAACAAACACGGCGATAAGGACTTCTGACTTTACTAGGTGCATGCCTGATACGGGTCGGTGGTGTAGGAAGATGGAAGATTTAGACAGCCAAGAAATTACCATTGGCACTGATGGTCAATGACACCGCAATGCACCTCCCTGGAGGCGGGCGTTGCAGCTGGCGCAACAATGTGCATTTCGCTGCCATGCGGTAAAAGTAATGCATGCACTATTTTTTCTTCTTCACCGCATGGCAACACGACACACGTTGCGTGGCACTGCCACACCCTTCGTCTGGAGGTGTGTTGGAGTGACAATGGGAATGGCAAAGTAAAGCACCAAGGCACCCAACATGGATCCCGTGCATTTAGCCCGACTATATAGTGTGAATAGGCCCCCCGATCTGGCAAAAGGTAAGGGCCGGTTACCACAATGTGCGCGTTCCTGAGCGTTTGGCCTCCGCAGCGCACTGAAACAGAACCTGGCTCCCTGTGTTCAGGGTTGCAAGGGGTCGTCGAGGTGCATTGAAGTCAAATGGTACCAGAGCTACACACCCCGCCCGCAGTGTGATCGCCCACACCTGAACGCGTGGCACATGAGTGCCTGCGTTCCAGTCCGGTGCGTTCTGCAAAAAGTGCTCGAGTGCACTGGACCGGACCACAGGCACTAATGTGCCACGCGTTTGGCCAATCGCGCTGCGGGCGGGTGGAGTGGCTGCGGTGACACTGACTTCAATGCACCACCACGCCCCCTTCCGGCCCTGAATGCAGGGAGCCGGCCAGGTTGCGTTCCAGAGGCCGAACGCACACTTTTGCCATGGGTAACAGCGTCTTTTGGGACCGCAATTCCTCCATGGCGATGGCCCCCCATCACTCACCAGCTCACAGCCTGTTCCAGCAGCTTCTTCTTCTTGGGAGGACGCCCCCTCTTCCTCACAGGCTTCTCCGGCATGGCGGCGGCTCTGAAACAGACGAGACCATAACACAAATCAGAACTGGTACATGGGAGCAGGCCACCCTCACAAATTCTGTGCCTCCTCCAATACACCATGTTCACTGACAACATATCCTACCAGGAGACAGCGAAAATAGGACTGCATCTTGGGGACAAACCTTCTCCAGGTCTGACATGCATAGGAACGGCCACATAGAGGTCTCTACTTTTAGAGGCAATAAAACCCTCAACAATAGACTCTGTCTCCCCCCCCCCCAAAACCCCAACAAATACCCCCGCCCCCCCCCCCCCCCCTCACCCCACAGAAAGGGTGTCGGGGTGTCCCCCTGGACATATTAGTCAAATCTTTTTAACGTTTTTGGATAAAGTCAGGATTTGGACCCTTTTTTTTTCCCCTCTATGGTCTGCGTCACTGGGGAAATTTGCCTACTTCCTGTTCTGGAGACATCACAGGAAATCTCTCCAAGCTAAGAGGACGGGGCAGGTGTCCCCACTGAGAGATATTTGTTTATATTAAGAAGGCCACACGTGTATTGATCTGATGTCAATCATTAAATGCAACTACAATAATCAAAGTGAATGAAAAATCACCTAAACATCCTCCATGCAATAGATTTATTGAAATCTTGGTCAAGTTTCAGTTTTGGGTGAACCAAACGGAATTCAGAAAGATTAAGTCAGAGTTAGGCAACCTCAGCAGTTGTGGAACTACAAGTCCCATGAAGCACTGCAAGACTATTGACAGCCATAGGCATGACTGGCAGAGGCATGGTGGGATTTGTAGTGTCACCCCAGCAGCAGTGCCAAGGTTGCCTACTCCTGACCTAATATGTAAACTACGGAAAGTTTTGGAACCCCCCTTTATCCCCCCCCGACCAGTGTTCTAATCTTCCTAACACTCCATCCACTACGATAACTGGGAATAAAAAAAATCAGCAAAATTTTTCCTTACTCTTCCAGCGCCTGCTGACGCTTCTCCCAAGATGGCTCCTCCTTGTACAGTCGCGTCCCATAAAAGTACCAATACAGATTCCCCTGCAAGTCTTCTCCGAGGGGCTCCACGCGTAGGCTGTCTGCATCCAGACCCTGCCGCACACAGAACAGAACACGTCATGTGACAACGCTCATCGAATACCGCTGCATTTCACTGACCCGAATCCCCCATATACTGGAAACAAACTGGCCGCCGATGGAACTGTACACACCGACACTGCTGGTGACACCTTGTATACGAGTATTTACAGAACAGGAACAGACTAAGGCCTACATGTGGAAAGAACATGTACTGTTGCTGATGGTAACCAGAGTCCTTGCTACATCTCCAACTATGCACTTCAGAAATGATAGAGGGAAGCCGAATGGTTGCTACCGGCAACAAGAAATGTTCTTGTCCTGCTATATCCAATTAAGGCTTTGTCCTTGTTGTTATAGTAACCAGATCACCCCCTCTTGTCCTACCACACTGCATTGCCAGGGGCAACCAAAACAGGCTTATACAGACACTGACGAATGTGGCCTTTAGTGGGGACCTGTCAATACACAAATATAGGAGCTGCCTACATTGCCGACAGGCAGCTGCATGGCCGTCATCCTCATCCTCGCTTCCTCTGAGCTAGAAGACATTGAGCAAATCGAAGCTCTGCCTTCGTTGGACGCACGTGTCGGCGATTCTTAAAGTGAAGCATAAGGCCTCATTCACACATGCTGGCCCATACAGATCCGCGCGGAGTGCACGCCCGTATCGGGCCGTTCCCGGGAAGGACAGGTGCGGCGTGTGATTGTACACAGCAGCCTGTTCTACCCTATGGCAGTACGCCGCTGTATGCTCACCTGAGCTGCACATGCATGCGGGTGTCCATACTCGGACGCAGATAGGATGGACCCGAGCATGGACACCTGCACCGATGTGCAGTTCGGGTGAGCGTATGGCCACGTCCACCCATAGGGAAGAACAGGCTGCTGTGTACAATCACACGCAGCACCTGTCCTTCCCGGAACGGCCGATATGGCCATGCACGCCGCACAGATCTGTACGGGCCGGCACGTGAATGAGGCCTAAAAGAAGGATAATCTCCTCATGCCATGTTATATCACCACCTATAATGTAACACGGCGACAGATACCTTGAGGAGCTCAAAGACGTCATCGGCGTCCAGCCTGTAGTCGCAGAGCCGGTGCAGAAGCTCCACCCTGGTGCGCGACTGCAGCTGGTGGAAATTGACGCCCTTCAGGGGGTTGGGCTTCCCCTCCTCCAGTTCCCAGCGGTAGCTGATGATGTCCTCCAGGTACCCGTGGAAGGTCTGCGCCCTGTGGGGAGAGAGAGGAAAAAGTCAGCTGTCAGAAAGCTTCAGAGAGCTGCAGGATGAGGATGACGGAAGAAATGTGTAACCTGCAAATCTTCCAAAAAAGCAAACAACCGGGGAAAAACAAATGACGAATCGGCTTCATAGCGACCAAAACGTCAGAACTTCATATGTTGATGTTTGAGATTTCGGACAATTCCGGGACATTTGCTGAAATCTTTTGTATCGAGAGCCAAGTTCTGCTTAAAGTGATAATAATCCCGCATCCTCAGCACTCTTCCGGCATGCAAGGTGCAGTGAGCCCAAGGACATAGCCGGGATTCCGTACTGCACAGTATTCTCTAGTTTTGGATGGATTGTAGAATGTCAGAACTCCCTGTTCTATCGAAAGCTCCAACTCATCGAGATCTCCAACTACCTCACTTCCGGTGCTCCGAAAGACTGGAGCTCTGTACAGTTGCTGTGCGTATGGCGTTTTCAGAATACTCGTCGAGTTTGCCACCTGCTGAATATTGTTGAAATGCAGCTGTACAGAGCTCCGTCAGTATTTGTGTTTTGCAGTCTAACGCCGTCCAGAAAGTGATGGGAAATCCAACATGTTACAATTGTCCCCTGAACAGGAAATAGAGGGAAATCTTCCAAACGGGGACACCTGTCTAAAGGGCATTTCCTCTCTCACTGGGGAGATTTGTTCTTACGTCTTGTGATCTATCTGGGACAGGAAATGGAGGTAAAAAAAAAAAAAAAAAAAAAAAAAGCCTGCAGCAGACTGATGACATCATCACAGCCTAGGCAAAGTCACTGACTGGAGACCAAGCATGGCTTTCTAATAGGAATGCACCAATATTTCGGTATCGAGTACCGATATTTTTTTTCCGGTACTCGCCGATACCGAATACCGGAAATCCCATTCAGGAAGCCAGGCGGCGTGTAAAGACTCGCCACCTGGCTTCCTGATTAGCAGGTAAGCAGTCCCCATGCCTGTACTCACAAGGTGACGAGAAAGCATGGAGCCGGCTTTCTGGCCAATCAGGAAGCCGGGCACTGTGAAATGACGCGGCACTCGGTTTCCTGATTGGCTGGGAAGCCGGCTCCCTCGTCATGAGGTGACGAGGGAGCATGAAGTTGGCTTCCCGACCAATCAGGAGGCCGGGCAGGGCGTCATTACACGCTGCCCGGCCTCCTGATTGGCCGAGAAGCCGGCTCCATGGTCTCGTCACAAGTGTAACGACGCGCTGCCCTTGCTTCCTGATACCGGAAGTATCGGGCTAGGCATTTGGGCGAGTACAAATACTCAACATCGGCACCAATACTAGTATCAATATCGGTGCATCCCTACTTTCTAATAATAAAATGTGGAGCTTTCCTAAAATCTGAACCTGCTGCGGAACACTGCGACACGCCAAACATCGATTGATTCACAGAACTCACGTGATATCGCGACGCTGGTAGCAGCCCTGCAGAAGACTCGCCACAAGCTCGCTGAGAAATGCCACGTCGTTCTGGTACAACGCATCTTCCAATTCCTGCGGAGGAGAAACAAGAGGAGATCAGGACAGAGGCAGGACACAACAAGCTGCAGACATCAAACACAATTTTCAAAAGTGGTAAAATAAAATGGCGGCAAGCACGCAGGAATGGCGGCGTACATGACCGTGTGACACAAGCACAGCTTGGTCTTCATAAACTCCTTCCCCGTGGAGCGGCACTGCGTGGTGACAGACATTCCGCATTCTGTAGACGAGGGGCCATTAATCATACGGCAGGATCCTCACCCGTCAGGGAGCCAAGCTCGCAGATCCTAGAGATGATGTATGAGTCCGCCATGGGGTGTAATGGAGGCACGGTGTGCCAGATACTGGGAGCGGCCAAACACCACAAACAGGCCGCGTGTACCCCTCTGACATGTTTAAGGAGTGCACAGCGCTCAGCCGGGACTGTACTGAGAGAAAACGTATTCCTAACGTGTCTGAAATGTGAGATTTTGGTTATAGAGCCTGGTGGGCGGAGTCAGACCCCGGCTTCTGCTATGTCCCCATCCATATGTGTGTCCCCAAACTGCTCCTGTTACATTATCCAGAATATAAAATATGGAGGGAGCCCCTCATAATGGGCCCAGCAGGTGTACAGAGCCAGGAACTAAGCACAGGGATGGTGGGAGCCCCTCATAATGGGCCCAGCAGGTGTACAGACCCAGGAACTCAGCACAGGGATGATGGGAGTCCCTCATAATGGGCACAGCAGGTGTATATACCCGGCAACTAAGCACAGGGATGGTGGGAGCCCCTCATAATGGGCACAGCAGGTGTACAGGCCCGGGAACTCAGCACAAGGATGATGGGAGTCCCTCATAATGGGCACAGCAGGTGTACAGACCCAGGAACTCAGCACAGGGATGGTGGGAGCCCCTCATAATGGGCACAGCAGGTGTATATACCCGGGAACTAAGCACAGTGATGGTGGGAGCCCCTCATAATGAGAATAGGAGTGCAGTGATGGTAGGAGATTGGCTGTTTTTGGTTTCAATAGCTCGAGTCCCTGACCCATACAGGTTGAAGGGCAGCAAAATGTACATATTATAGTATTGGAGCCCATACAGAGTCTGTGGGGGGGATGATTGGGGGGCTGCAACGGGCCCCCATTAGGCATGTAAAGGGAAGCCGTCCCCTCTACCAGCAGCAGATTTAAACAAACCGGCCTTGAAAGGGAAACCGATTAAAGGAAGACCTATAACAGAAGACTGAGGCCTGCCGAGAGATGGGGCCTCATTGTGCCGTCCTGCCGAGAGGAAGACAAAAAGGGAGAAGAGACGAGTGAGAGGGCAAAGAGTCACCCCAACGCCTGCCAGGGCCAAGAACAGAAGAAAGAGGACGCCCGGGGCGCAGCTCCTATGCCAGAGGTAAGCAAACTCCGGCCCTCCAGCTGTTGTGGAACAACAATTCCCGTAAAGCATTGCAAGATTCTCACAGCCACAGGCATGACTCCCAGAGGAAGATGCATGATGGGATTTGTAGTTTCACCACAGCTGGAGGGCCAGAGTTTTCCTACTCCTGTCCTACACCAACCGTAGTTCTGGGACGGCACCCATTTGGCCCCAAAAGTGTCTGTGGAGGGGACCATTTAACAACAGTCAGTCCAGGACACTCCCAGTTACAAATGTCTAACGCAGATCAGTCCCTGCTGCAGTTAAAGTTACAATGTACAGTCTGATCACGGGGGGAGACTGAGGAAATGCTTCCTCCTGCTTGCAGCAGACTGATGACATCATCTCATCCATGGCAGTTGCCAACTAGGGCTAAAGCATGACTAAATGGTGGAGCTTTTCTGGAAAATGACACTGATGCTGTGAATTGCGAATGATTCTCAGGGCGGCCATACTTCTGGGTTGTATCGCTGATCCCTGTATCAGTAACATCCTTTCTGGTTTTATGTTCTGCATTCAGGACGGATCCGGCCTCTGCGACCCAGGTGGCTGAATGATGGAGGCTGTATGGGAAGCCCACAACCTCCCCCCTCCCAGTCACATGCTGATGTCCGGCTGAACTTCTGACCTGCAGCAAGCCGAATTCCTGCACACTCTCCCCCCTTTAACCCCTGTGTGGCTGGAATATCACATTCTGCTCCCTGCACCAATCACACCCATCGCTCCTCATTCCCTACAATTCCCTACCACCGGATAGAATTCATGGCAGATTCAGAGTCCAGATGGGGCTTGTACACATCTGGAGGGTACCGGGGCACTGACAGCAATAGAGGAGCTACAAAAAGACAACCTTTTTTTTGTTGATTGGGCTTAAATATTTAAAGTTTTTTTGCCTTTCCTGGTCCATCCGCCATGCCTGAGCTACAGTCAGTGACGTGGCCTAGGCTGAGATGATGTCATCAGTCTGCTGCAGGCAGAAGGAAGCATGTCCTCCTTCTCCTCCCCCAGTGATCAGTCTGTTGCAGGCAGCAAGAAGCATTTCCTCAGTCTCCCATCCCCCACCCCAGTCTTCCCTCCCCCAGTGATCAGCCTGTTCTGTTGCAGACAGGAGGAAGCATTTCCTCAGTCTCCCCTCCCACAGTGATCAGACTGTACATTGTAACCAGTCACAAGTTGAGAGGCTGCAGCAGGGGCTGATCTGTGTGTCAGACATTTGTGAAAACCAGCAAGAACTGCACAGGTACCGGGATTTACATGACTGTCATCTCTGAGCCAACATCTCAGCCCAGGAAGTAGATGGTGACCCCGGATGGTGCCGTCCTTCTGGAGAGAAAAGCAGATGGCAGCATTGTCAGGGGGAGTACTGTGATCTCAGAGAGATAATAAATACCTGGAAGTGTTACACAGACACATTAATTAGCATGCATCTACTTAACATTAAAAAAAAAAAAGTATCATACCCCCTCCCCCCAGGATAACCAGTCTCAGGGGGAGAACGAATCACTTTCATGGGTTTCCCCTGAACTCTCACTAGTCTTCCTCAGCGGGGAGGTCAGTGGGAAGTCTGCACAGGACATAGACGTGTACGCTCGGCTGGAGCCGTGTTGCATGTTTATTCTTTCGGAGAAGGATCATGTTGAAGCCTGTACTTCCTGCACCGGCCAATCAGATCGGATATTTCAATAATGACACATTACTAAACATCAATAGAGAACATGAAGAAACCCTCAGCCGGTCTCCAGACCTCCCCCAGGGGCTTCCGGGGAGATGAAGAGGTTAATGCCACTTCAAAAAAAGCCCTTTGAAATGATCTAGTTGACATATCAAAAGCAAATGGCAAAAGGAGGGGG